CCAGAGATCCTCGCCACACCCAGCGGTCCAATGGCCGATCCCCTCCCCTATACCCTCTTTCCTCGCCTCCGCAAGGGTAGGCGAGGCAGGAGGGTGGAGAGGGAGAGGATTGGACTGGGTGTCGTGACGAGGGTATCCTAGGATCAGCCGGCGCAGTGGCTAGGCGCTGACCCAATGGCGGACGGCCTTTGGTCGACGGCTCTCGGGATGAGAAGGAAGACGCAGACACCGCCAGACGTCGCAGCGGCGCCCGGGCCCTTGCTTCGAGCACGCCGTGGGAGGGAGAGGGCATCGCCAGACACGGGCGAACACACGACCGCGTCTCTGACATACAGTCGGGGCCCTGGAGAAGGAACCCTTTTCGTTGGGGAGGGGCTCCGTGTTCCTCAAGTGTTTTGCAGCTCGCCTCAGGCTTTCCTTAGGTTTTCGATGCGAAATCGAAGCTTCACCTATGGAAAAAAGGGGCCTCGTTCCTTACTCAGGGTTCCTTAGGTCAACGCCCCGACTGTGGTTGGGACAGAGATGAGGGCTCTGCGTCTTTGGGGGCCTGATTTAGGCTGTCCTGGAGGGTTCCAGGGGGGTCTGGGCAGAAGGCAGCCTTGTCATGGCTGGTGTGGAAGGGGTCTAGAGCTACCCTCGCGGCGCCGAAGCAGGGGGCCACAGCTCGGGCTCGGGGGGAGGGCCCCGCTGGGTGCTCGGGCCGCGCCGCAGAGCTGGGCCGGGGAGAGCCCGATCGTGGCCCGGGCTTGGCGTGGCCGGGGGAGAGGCCCCAGTCGTGCCTCGTGTGGCGCTCCGGGTGGCAGGATGCCTCCTCCTCCTCCTCCTCCTCCTCCTGCTCCTCCCTCTCCTCCTCATCCTCCTCCTCCTCCTCCTCCTCCTCCTCCTCCTCCCCTCCTCCCCCCCCTCCTCCTCCTCCTCCTCCTCCTCCTCCTCCTCCCCTCCTCCTCCTCCTCCCCCTCCTCTCCTCCCCTCCTCCTCCTCCTCCTCCTCTCTCCTCCCTCCTCCTCTCCTGCTCCTCCCCCTCCTCTCCTCCTCCTCCTCTCCTCCTCCTCCTGCTCCTCTTCCTCCTCCTCCTCCTCCTCCTCCTCCTCCCTCCTCTCCTCCTCCTCCCTCCTCCTCCTCCTCCCCTCCCCCTCCCCTCCTCCTCCTGCTCCTCCTCTGCTCCTCCCTCTCCTCCTCATCCTCCTGCTCTCCCCTCCTCCTCCTCCTCCTCCTCTCCTCCTCCTCCTCCTCCTCCTCCTCCTCCTCCTCCTCCTCCTCCTCCTCCTCCTCCTCCTCCTCCTCCTCCGCCTCCTCCTCCTCCTCCTCCTGCGAACATTATTATTCGAGATGTCATCACAGTGGGCCCAGCCCGACTCCAACGATGGGAACGTTTCCTGGTCAGCATTGCTCGGAATCGTGTTCATGTGCGCTGATGTCAATTGTTTTGCATTGCTTGGCGCTGCTGGGCATTACTTAGCACTGGTTGGCATTGCTGGACATCGCTTGGCATTGTCTGGCATTGCTGGGCTTTGCCTGGCATTGCTTGACAGTGCTTGCCATTGACTCGCATTGCTTGACGTTGCTTGGCGTTGCATCTTGGCGTTGCTTGGCGTTGCTTGCCATTGCTTGGCATTGCTGGCCGGTGCTGGGCAATGCTGAGCAGTGCTGGGCATTGCTTGTCAGTGTTTGACACTGCTTGGCGCTGCTTTGCGTTGCTTGGCGTTGCTTTGCGCTGCTTTGCTTGGTATTGATTCGCATTGCTCTGCACTTCTGGGCACTGCTGGCATGGCTTGGCGCTGCCTGGCGCTGCAAACGGAACCAGGGCAAGCAAGCCGAGGAACGCCACTGCAAAGAAACAGGACCTGGCAGCCCCGAGGCACGAAGCTGCAAAGAAGCGAGACCAGGGAGCCCCCAGGAAAAAGCCAACTCATCAGACCAGCCCAGGGAGCCCCGAGGAACGCCACCGCAGAGGAGCAAGACCCGCCGGGGACCCCCGAGGATACCGCCGGCCGGCGCAGGCCTCGCGCACCCACGGGCTGCTCAAGAGCAAGTGGAGACCCTGCAGGCAAGCCCAGTTGGGACAGAGATACAGCCGGGGCGCTGAAGAAGGAACCCTTTTCGTTGGGGAGGGGCTCCGTGTTCCTTGACTGTTCTACAGTTTGCCTTCTGTTTTCCTGGGGTTGTCCACGGGAGATCGAAGTTCAACTTATGGGAGAAAGGGGCCCCGTTCCTTATTTAGGGTTCCTTAGGTCAACGCCCCGACTGGTAAGGGTCCTGCGTCTTTGGGGGTCTGATTTGCGCTGTCCTGGAGGGTTCCAGGGGGGGCCTGGGCAAAAGGCTGCCTTTCCATGGCTGCTGCGGAAGGGTTCTAGAGCTGCCCGTCTCTGGGAGAGTTGTGACCGCCCCTTCCATCAGGAAATGTGGAGAGTTCTGCGGCGAACGCCGGCGAACGTCGCCGAATACGGGCGATCGAAGTGGTCTCCTGCGCCCCGCCCAGGCTCTCGGCCCCGCCGGCGCCGCCCTGGGGCCGCCCGTGGCTGCGCCCTTGCGGCCGGCGGGCCTGGGCAGCCAAGCCCGCATGCGGGATATGGCCTCCTTCCTCCCCCCTCCCCCATCGCCTCTCCCCCTCCTCCTCCTCCCCCTCCGCCTCCTCCTCCTTCTCCCCCTCCGCCTCCTCCTTCTCCTCCTCCTCCTTCTCCTCCTCCTCCTCCTCCTCCTCGTCCTCGTCGTCGTCCTCCTCCTCCTCCTCCTCCTCCTCTCCCCCCCTCCTCCTCCTCCTTCTCCTCCCCGTTTTCCGCGTCCTCCTCCTCCTCCTCCGTCTCCTCCTCCTCCTCCTCCCCCTCCTCCCTTCCCGGAGACAAGCTTTCGCTAGTCAACATTCGTGTCTGATAAGGGACGTGCGAGTTTTCGGATGTAATGTACTTTAAGCAGTCTGGGGATGCCACCCCGTTATGGGCGCGTCTTTCAGTTAGCCAGTCAGTCAGTCAGTCAGTCAGTCAGTCAGTCACTCAGTCCTCCCCCGAATCGTCCGCTTCTATTTCCTAGCGCCGACAAAGCCGTTGACTCTCACCAGCTGCAACGATGACCGCACCCCCGCAGGAGGGCGACAGTGCAAACACAACGATTTGCTTCCCAACCACACACACCGTCCCCCACCCTCTTCCCCTCCTTCCCCTTAGCCCCCCCCTCGCCCAGCCCCCCCCCCTCCACCGCACTTCCCTTGAGATCCGCTGGTGTGACTTAGCCAGTCCGCGGCCCCAGAGGTTCTGACCGCTGCCCCGAGCGGCCCGAGCGGCCCGAACGCCCAGATTGGAAAAACACGTACCGTCGTCGTCGTCGTCGTCGTCATCGTCGTCGTCGTCGCCGTAGCTATTTTGGCTCAAGGCTTTGGTTTCTCAGCGAAGCAAAGTGGATATAGCTGGTGGCCAGTCTTGAGTTCTCGCGTGCAGTCTGCCCTTCTACGCTTCCATCACCGCTGCGCAGTTCGCCCTCCGTGTGCATCAGGCCTCTCCGTGCTCCGTCAAGAGCAGGACCAGCGTTGCGCATGCCCAAGCAGGATCAAGCAGACAGCAGGTGCTGGTCTTGCACAGACAAGTGGAACTGCAAGGGCTGCGACATGTGCTTCAAGTGCGGGAAGTCAATCGAGCAACAGCACACGCCCCCACGGAGGTCTCCCACAGGGGCCTGGGCCCCGACACCGACTCCTACAGACGACTGGCAGAGCTGGGACCACTAGCGCAAGTCCAAGGGGGCACGTCGCCGCCGTGGCTAGTGGACCGACCGACCTGATCAATCGCCGACCGATGTTGGAGCCATGCTCGCCCTTTTAACCAGAACCCCAGCGGGGAGAACAGAACCGCGAGGCGCTGACACAGCTCAAAGAGAAGATATTGCCCGTCAAGTCCGTCCACTCCGAGACCTTCGACGCACAGTACCAGCGAGTGCGTTCGGCCGAGCGCAAGGTTGCGGCAGCAGTGGACAAGGCCGCCACTTCGGATAACAAGGCGCGAGACTGGGTGGCCGTCGCCTGCGAGGCACACGCCCAGTCCTACGATGAGGCCCTGGCAGCGGCCCGCGACGAGGACCAGACTGCGCTCGCCGTTATCAGCGCAGGGCGGCGCCAGCCCGGAGTGGAAGTGGCTCCCGCAGCTGCGGGGGGCATCGACATCAGCAAGCTGCTCATCGGCGAGGAGGGCCTCGTCTTCGATTGGGGCGAGGCCTTCGACGCCACCAACCTCGAGCTCGACGACAGCGAGATGCAGCAATGGAGCGACTTCAAGGCCCGCTTCATGGACGAGCTCAAAGCCAAAATCAAAAAGGTTTCCGTCTCAGGCGCCACAGCCACTCAATAGAGGAATACCGAGCTGGACGCCGCGCGCAGGCGCTTCGCAGCCAAGCGCCCGCGCGCCGCCAGCCACGACCGAGACGACACCCAGCAGAAGGCAGACGGCGACAGGGCAACTGGCGCCGATGGTGCCGGGGCTGCTGGCAGCCCCCCCGGCACAGGCAGCGCAACCGCATCGGGGTCATCCGGGTCAGGCGCGGCGCCGGGGCCTGCGGCTGCGGGGGCAGGTGCACGTGGCAGCGCAGGCCCTGGCGGCCCCACTCGTCGCCGCAGCAAAAGGCAAGCGGTTGGCCGAGTAGGCCCGTCAGCGAGCCACAGCCAAGCCCTCCCTTGAGCCGTGCCGAGGCTGAAGAAACAGAACCATCTGCGTCAGGAGAATCACCGAACGGGGGCCCCAGTGCCACAAGATGATCCGCGCGCCGCCATGCCAGACAGACATCCTCAGGCACCTGGAGACGCATGTGGGCGAGCGCATGAGCGACCTGGTGCTCGCTGAATTTGACGCGGCTGCCCGGAAGGCGGCCATCTCGCCGCCCCGAGCGGATGGCCAATGTAAGCAAGCAGAAGGATGGTTTTGGGAGCGAGGCGCCACCTGCAGAGCACACCCCTGGGGCTCCTCGCACGTTGCCGCGGTCGGACTAACGATAAAAAAGCCATCTGCACCACCGCCGACCTGGGCAAAAGATCGTCGCGGGGGCCACTGATTTCTGGGACTTTCAGGCCATGGCCATTCAGATGAAACGCGGCCAGCTCGCAGTCCTTCTTGAGTACCTCACATCCATCGACTCGACAGGCCACGACCTGTTCAAGCTACGACGCTTGGAGAGAGGCCACGCGATGTTTGACGGAGACTGGAATGTTACGCCGCCCGACGTCGAGCGCTCGGGCCGGCTCGACTACGTCGGCGGACACGTGCAAGCCCAGCAAAGTCATCTTCGCAGCTCACGGGAGGGGGGCTCTTGGATTTTGCCGTGATCGGAGGACCTGGGCGCCGCGTGCCAGCCGAGTTTTCGCCGGCGAACTGGCGGGCCACAGGAGCCGCGCGGGCCTCGCGGCGCAGTGCAAGTCGCAGGCCGCCCCAGCGCGGGCCCCCGACGTGCCGACGTCTCACCCCCCTGCCCCCCGCCCGAGAAGAAACCGATATGCCCGGCCGGGATGCGCGCCCAGCAGCGGCAAGCAGCCGAGCAATGACGGATGGAGCGCGCGCAGGACGACCCGCTGAAGTCGCTGGAGCCTCGCCGAGCCAGACGGATGCGCATGGGGGCCGTCGATGGGCCGCCGCTACTTAGACGCGCGCGCCAAAGGCCCCTGCGCGTCGGCGACGGCAACGCCCCTCGCCTTTGCCGACCTCGGCAGGGCGCTCGACAGCGTCGGCGACGTCCTCGGCGGCGCGGCCGTAGAGGGGCCACCAGTGGCGACCACATGCTGGGATGTCCGTTGACGCCGCCGCGGCCAGAGGCGCCGCGACCGCGACTTACCCCTGCCCAGAAGGATGAGCTTTGGCAGGAAGTAGCCGCGCGCGGCATCGCCCGTGACCAGTCGCTGTCGTGCATCCTGGATTTGACGGCGCAGCGGCCCTTGTCCGAGGCCGCCGGCGACCCAGTCAACGGGTGCGCCGCCTGGGCCGGCCGCGTTGAGAAGTGATGCGCGCGGGCCACGCAGGCCCCCATGGGCGAGCGCGACCGCCGCGCACGCAGAGGGCGCGACCGAGAACCGCCGCGCCTGCGGCCTCGAGCTCCCCGAGCAGGCGCGGGCGCCTACGCGGCGAACAAGGCCGTGCGATGGCGAGGCGCCGCGGCGGCATGTGCCCAGCTCAACGCCAAGGCCTGGGCCCGCAGCGACGGCGAGTGCATCTCCGGAGCAGGCCGCGGCGCGGCGGCCATCAGTCACGCGCGCAGCTTCGAGGTGCCAGATGACAACCCGGCGCCAGTCGACGCGCCCACCTTGTACAAGTGGAAGCGGGGACTGGCCGCAGTGCACCAGTGGACCGCTGATCAAACAACGTCGATGGTTCTCGCGGCGGGCCTCCCTGCTGACTGTTTCCAACGGGCTGAAGTACTTCAAGGGCTGCTCGCCCCCCAGGAATGGGTCGTCCAGCGCGCCGCCACGAAGCCCAGCAAGGTCCTCGAGTGGGGCGCGGGCGCCGCGGGCCCAGTCATGGAGCGCGGCGTGGGCAGCGAGGCGCCCGCCGACCTCCGCGCCATCATGGAGGGCAAGAGGGCAGCATGGGGACGGCGCTGGAGTGCTGCGGTCACCCTCGAGGGCCTCGCGCGGCTCCGTCGCAAGTAGCCTATCGCCGCAGTGGTGATAAACGCGAAGGCGACCGCCCTTCCAAAAACGACAGGTAGAGGGACCGACATCGTTTGCCCCGCAGATGTCAAGCGCTTTCCTGCGCAAGGCCAGCACGAGTTGGCCAACTTCCACACCGTGGCGCGTGATGGCGCGGCCGCGGCAGCTCATGAGCGCGCCCGAGGGCCTTCTGCCCAAGCCCGACGGCTTCGAGCGCGGCGTCGCGCTCATCCCGTGGCCCACGCGCTTTTGGGCGTAACTGCGGCGTGGTCCGGGGGCCGCGTGGCGCGACGCCAAGGCTGGCCACTGGGGCCAGGCCATCAAGGCAGGGTAGCAGCGCCCTTCGATGCGGTCTTTTCCGTTCATTTTTTGGCAATGTTTCCGACGAGCTGAACGTCGGCTACACCAGTATCATGTGGGACCTCCTGCTGACTTGTTAACGCTTCGCGTATCCGCACCAACCCATCCAGGCACGATCGCGAGGTGAGTTGCCTTTGATGAGGGCAGCGTCGAAACACACAGTGCGACAGTCGCCCTGGATGCCTGTCCGAGGTGCGGGGATGAAGGGGACATGTGTTGTATGATTTGTCAGATGGTTGAACAGGTCGACCTGGCGCCGGTTTGGCTCTATGGCAGTCTTATTTGGGGTCTTCTTCGACAGATCTTGACCTGCCACGGTTATCTCATCGGGGAAGGGGCTCCTGCACCACCATGCTGCCATTTTTTCCGACCGGGCTTAGGAACATATCATATCATATTGCCCCGAAAGAAAGGGAAACGAGGAAAAAGAGGAGGAGGAGAAGGAGGAGGAATACTCATAATCATGCAATGGCAAGAAGAGGGGGAGGAGGAGGAGGAGGAGGAGGAGGAGGAGGAGGAGGAGG